TTGTGTAGCCACCTCGAAAGTTAAAGACATACTGCTCATCAATAATTCACGTTTCATTAGACCAACATACATATAAGGCCAGGCACATATGAGCGCGTGCTTGAATTGCTTCAACGAATTTTGATATCTTCGCATGCTGCAGCACCTTTTGCTAGTTGCCGGTTCTGGCGTAGTGCTCGCAGGGCAAAAGTATGGATTGGTTTTTTGCTCTTCCATAAGGTGCATCAATTTAAACTGATGTTGTGTTTTCTGTCGAACGTCCAAGCAAGATAGCTCATCTCGGCTGTTAGCGATAATTTGAACTGGAGATTAGCCTTACAGTTCTCGATAAAGTTGCTTGCCAATAAGTCTCGCCGGCTGCAATTGAATCGGACACAGACCTGCGCTTTACAGCGAATTCTGGCAAAAAATATTTAAAGTGTTCAGCACCATGTTGAAAATGTCAAGCGCCGATCATCTTTAATAGTCGGCCAGACGAAACGCATGAGTCTTGCTGTGGTAAGCATCCTGCAAGGTGCTTGAGCAGAGAGATCTCAGTTGCTTCCACTCATTAGATTTGCGGCTCACAACTATGTGTAGACTTAACCTACTTACATGTAAATCCTCGGGTGCCGCAACGTGATTTAAACTTGTGAGTGAGTGCAGTTAATAAAATCAATTTGCCGATATCAGCCTGGTTACACTTCGTAACAAAGTCACAAATTGTTAAAAATGAGATTGAGCGGCACGCGCAGAAATATCGACGACAGGAATACACCAATCCAGAGCTACATGGAGCAGAAGCCGTATTGAATGCAATGAACCTACCTTTAAATAAGTCTCGGCTGCGTATAACATTAATCTGCGATCTCGCTACATCATACAATTCTGGTAATACATTCAGAAATAATTATATCAGGGCTGGATCTAAAATTAGACAATTTTACTCTCTTTCATTCATAACAAAATTCTTTTCTTTTGCGACGTACGGTTAGCGAATTTCCTGTACCTCTGATATTCCACTTTGGAAGTTTTATCTTCTTCATCTATTTACCGATATTCCAGCCATTATTATTATTCACAATCTTACCGTAATTCACAATCTCACCGTGAATGTGACTTAAGTACAATTGTACCGTATTATATTTTATGCTATATCCGGGAAGGGTTCAGTGCTTGACCCGCTCGACTCCTTCCTGTTAAAAATATAGACCATTCTGAAATCCACACTAATTCTGATTTTTAATAATATTGCACAAAGTTGACCGCTCTACAAGCAACAACTGTGCATGAGAACCCACCATATTCTCTGAACGTTACCGCGCAATGTTTTTCTGAACATACTACCACCGAGAGTCCGCTCCCATGCACCAAATGAAACGATTAATGAGCCCTGTCAAAGCACTTTCTTCGCGACCGACTCGCTGAATAAGTTTCTTGGTAAAGATGCCGATTTTGGCTTCGATGAAGCGGTTCCAGCAGCTCCCCGAGTCTTAACCAAGCGCGTCCACTTTCAGCCGGCGTAGATACAGCCCACACATTTCCAAGTAAGAGGCTCTCACTGTGCTGAGCCTTTTGCAGTACGAGTGTCAAACTCCATACCCTATTCCAACCAAAAGAGTTTTGATACCCACGGTGGAAATCCTGACCCTTCATGAGGAATGTTACTTGATTACTAGATGCTTACCAGAGCGTCGATTAATACAGTACCCAATTTGCGCACTGGATGAGCAAAACACGCCGCCTCACGCGTTTGCAAGACTAAACATTCGCCCAGAGAAGTTTATGCTTGACTTTGCAACATGTAAAGCTCAATGCGGAATCATAGTGAGAGCCCACCATCTCAAGTTTCTGGTGTTTCAGCCCCTCTCTTCTCCAAGATACAATTGTAAGCGCTCTCGATCTGGGGTTCCTCCAGTATAACTTCAACCGTTTCCAAATAGTTTAAACTGCGCCGTGACCGGTGTCATTCCAGATTTACCAAAAAATGAAAGGATCAAAGGTATGCAAAGTACTGTGCAGCCTCCACACTAGGAAACTCATGCCAAAGTGATACCTTAAACCACTACAAGTTCTGAAAGTATCTCTTCACCAGGTACTAGTACAAGATCTGGTACACCCACCACCATTCGTTCAACGCAAACATGAGCCGTCCTGTTTATGAAGCAGTTGCTGTGGACATCCGCGATCTCACAGATAGCCAGAGTGAGCCCCCTCAGTTGCGGCGGCACGTTGACTCTCTATGAGAGCCACGACTTGCATCCGAGGCTGACGTATCATCTCGCTCTTTTAGCTTTGTCATCACGCTGCCCAGCTCAAATTACCGTCATCTGCTCAGACCCGCGTTGCTTCCTTGAAGGAGAGTGAAGCTCAGCTACCGGGATACTAGATACGTTTTTTCGTCTGCGACAGAGCTCTTCGTGTCCGATTTGCTCGTAAGAAAGAGGTCGTAGAATAACTTTGGTAAGCCCATATCAGGACGCTGAGAGGATTTCTTCTTTTCTTTAGGATAAGTGGCAGTTTACGAGTTCCTAGCCAAGCTGAAGGCCGTTGACTTGGAAAAGATGTCTCTTCCGGGCGGATATCGTAAGCAGCGTGGACGCGTTTTGTGCTTTTGATACTTGTAAGGAATTTGATGTTTCGATTGCAATTGTAGCACTTAGATTCGGTCTATTGTCTCAGTTCTTTCCAAGTACTTTCTCAGGTCTTTACTTTACGAGTAATGCCGGGTGATATTTAGCCTATTCACCAAGAAGGCAATTGTAGGTAAGGTGCGGAATCGACCCCCGCTGTCGTTGCCGTCTTCCGGTGAAAGAGTGACATAATGATGCTTAAAGCAAGCTGATCAGTCCACTAAACCTACACAAACGTGATACGTTGTATTGAATTTTACAAAGGCGCAATATGCTGTGCACTGGATCTGACATTTAGATAGTAGCAGATTCGACTGCCAAAAGTTAACATACGGCGTGGAACACCTTGTTTCGCAAGATTCCGAGGCGATATGTTCTTAGCAGTGAATATTATGTTACGGTAGCAAGTGCGTTTGGCTTTTAGTGTGTTGCTTCAAGACATTCCACCGGCTGCGTGTCATTGCTATCCAAAGAGGATTGGCGAGTGATGTCGTTTTAGTCTAGACAGCTAAAGGCAAACAGTTCGATCCATGACAAGGATATCCTAGCAACGAAGCAAGCTTTCATGATTTTCCGAGTACTTGCCGGAAATTCTATCATGTAATCTTGTGGACAGCCTTGCATATGCCATATGCAGAATTTCTGGTGAGTGAATAGATTCTGGGAGCTGGATAAATTCGATATAGTAGGATACTGGCTCCTATCGTTGGCTCCTATCGTTGGCTCCTTCAAACAGTAGTGCATGAAATACTCAGTCGAAGGAGACTAAATTCAACTAAGGAGAGCCATACCTTGCTCTTGGCCAGATAGCCATGGAAAAGCTTGTAAATCTCATAGGGATAAATTTTACAGAACTTATCATTTGGTGAGGTAGCCGCTGGTTCTAGACACTTAAGCGTGCCACACGGCAAAGGACCGCAAACGGGCCGATAACAGTGACTTTTCGTTTATACTCATGATCGACTTTTACCACGAGAATACACTTTTTTATTCAAAATCCTCCCGTGTGTTTAAATTTTCGTGAGACAGATGCAAGATACACCATCACCATATAACTATAACCACTAATTGCCTCTGGCAAGCCGAAGGCTAATACAAAGCTCGCCGACATTGAGCAGTCTGCTAGGACAGATAATCGTTTCTTTTGCAACATATGCGCAGAAAGTTTCCACTTAGGTCGATGCCCAAAATTGTAAATGGAAGGACATCTCAACGTTTCCAAGAGAACCTGAATTAGCATCATTCGCCGTCAGAGGGTTTGTCGTGCTTACATTTCTCTAAGCATTTTCTATTTAAAAAATCGTCAATGTAGTTGTAAAGTTACCTATGTTGAGTTGGCAACGATAATTAGCGCCTTACTTACACTTCGTTGCTTGCTGTCAAAATGTAAAAACTCGATCTATTGTCTACCGGGCAATCTGTCCGTATAGCTACGCTGTATGCGCCGCGTTAACCTGGCAAAGGAAAATACTCGCGAAAATTGACGGTAACCTGGGCACGAGTCGCCTTAAAAAAATTACTAGAGTCGCTCGTTCGGCTTCCATGGCAACGCGAACTATCCAGTCTTCGTGGAAAGCTTGGAAGCTTGGATTGCGTCACTTTGGGGTCACATATGCACATTTTAAACGGAGCTCATATATCAATTGCTATGATCGAGACACCAAAGTCGGTTGTTGAGTCATGAGTTATGCCCCTAGTATCCAGAGGCCAATATTTTGGCTCGAGAGTCATGGTTCCTCGTAGCCTTCATACAAAACGTATGAGCGAAATCTGGATGCGCAAAAAGACTCCCAGTAAAGACGGAAATCGTCAAAGTTGCTCTAAGATCGTTTGGTATACGGTCGCAGTGCGTCGACCGATCCGAGCACGGGCCTCTCCCTCGTTAAAATGTAATAGACAATGCATCTCGACGAGTGGAATTCCTTAAGAGTATGTAGCTCAGTCGATATTTGGCGTAGGGCTGCTGCATCGTCTGAAAAGAGCTCAAAAGCTGTTCATCCCTTGGGGCGGTTTGACACTTAGAAGAATTTCGAGGAGGTGAGCACGGTTTTGAAACTTTTTCTGTGAAGATTCACGAAAGAGCCAGGCAGTGTGTTTTGTCTGATGAAGTGGGAGAGAACACCACTGGCTCTCCTTAAGGACTTTATTTTTCATATTGAATGAATGATTTGTTTAAGGTGCCTTTTCGTGAAGTGGACGTGCCGGGTCACATAAGATCCACAATGACTGATTGAAACGGTCGCATTCTGTGGACGAGGCAATGCATCCTATATGAGTAGTACGTAGATTTGTAGCCATAGTACAGGCTACGGTGTTGAAAGGAGTCACCAAATTTCGAGCTTGAAGTAAACTTACTTTGATAAAACTCATACAAAGGTCGCGCGGATCATGGATTTGATCAACTGAACATCTTCAATCTTTAAGGATATAAATGTATGTAGTGGGACTCAAGGTCTCGACCTGAGCCTATGACATGTTGTTCTGGAGCATACGCAAGATTCTTCCAAACCGAATATGGCTCACCCCTGTCTTCGTTTTCTTTTGAAGGCTCTGAAAATTTTTCAATTGAAATCTTGTGCGGTGAAAGTAAAGCACTGAGAAACTTCAACTTTACTCCAAGCATTTTAATGAGGTGGCGTTCGTAAGATGACAGAGTCGTTCGAGGTAGACTTAGCTTTAACGCGATCATAACGAGAAGACTTTCGTGCTTTGGATTTGCCATCCTCTATAGTAAAGACAAGTCATCGATATCTGCAAAAAAAAAGCTGATACAGCCACCTTCTGCCTATTTGAGCCATTAACGATCTTAAGGTGGGAGCTGTGTGCATCCATCTCCTCATTCGACCCTTCCTCGGTGGCAAAAACAAGTTTATATTCGCGAGTGGATAAGGCGCCTTGATTATAGTGCGCTCAAGTAATTTTGCGCGCGCTTCTGTGCTCCCTGATTCAAATGGTTGCAGCTATAGCACGACCACAACCCGTAGGTCGCACAATTTCATTATGTGACATGGTTCGAGCTCAGTGTCAAACCTGATGGGGCGGTGTAGTTTCCTAAAAAAAGTTGCGTCTTCCACTATATCGTTCGTCAACCGACAAGCTTAAGTGAAGATTAATGAACTTTACGAAGTGGTACGTACATCCATCGATGTTAGGGATCGCCAGGACATCCTTAGCGCTTGCACCAGCGTATGTTAGGAGCAGCACCTCTGGCAGACTTCTGACTTTTGATGCCTTAGCTTCAAGCTTGATCTTAGTGGTCAATGGTATGGCTGGCTATTGTTGAATAAGCACGTTGATTAGGATGAAATTTTTTTTTTGCCATGATCGTTTTTAAGCTTACAGAATGTGCACAGGAATGCACTGCCTGAGCGCCACAAACGATCTGTTTAAACTATGAAGCAAAAACGTGGCTGAAGAGATCACACTTTTATGGTGAAATGGAATCGATAGTACTGTAAAACCTTGCAGATAATTTTTCTATGAGTGGACCACTTGCATGACGTGACATCAACAGACTGACGTAGGCCTTGAGAGATATTTCTTACCAAAACGACTTTTTGCTATTAGTGCGCATGCTTCTGCCATCTATATCAAAGAGAAGCGCATTTGCGCAGACAAGAATGCCGCGCTTATTGTATAATCGAGCGTGGCTCGAAAGTAAAAAATAACATTATCTGACAATTCCTCATTTCTGTGTGAAGACACATGATTGAGAACTAATTCTTAAAGTAAAGCTGGAATGTGAGAGAGTAGGTCAGCTGTAAATGAGTAATGCGTCAGCAAACGTCTATCACTGAGGTGCTAGATCTCAACATCAAATGAATGCATTTCTATATCGCTATGGACCTCCAAGCTTTTCAGGCCAGTCAAAAAACAGGAATGTAAGCGAGTGTTTTTATGCAGCGAGATAGATGATAGTTCTAGTTCAGCAGATATCAAAAACTCCAAAGATTGACAGAGTGTCCCCTCCTAACTCGACGCAAGTTTAAATGCATACAGATCCCAGCGAATATGCCACACCACTCAACCGGGCATTTAGCCACTTTTCATTCTCGGCGCGCAAGTTTATTGACCGCTGCGAGCGTTCATTGCACCACACAAATCGAAGTCCACTCTTAAGCGATGAAGAGCAACATAAGCCGTGGTTTGTCACCAACAAGGTACACGTTCGCGAGTGTCTTGCGGAACTTTTAGGCACCTTTGTCATGATTTGTTTTGGAATGGGTGTCAACAACCAAGTGAGTTTGTCCGAAGAAACCAATGGCACATGGCTCAGCATTAACATGGCATGGGGTATTGGTGTTCTTATGGCAGTCTATTGCTCTGAAGGGGTCAGTGGTGCGCATTTAAATCCGTCTGTCACCCTTGCGCATTGTGTGTATGGCCGTCTAGCGTGGTGGAAGATGCCAGGGTATTGTTTATCGCAGTTTTTGGGGGCGTTCACGGGTGCAGCAGCGATTTACCTGCTTGATTACCAAAGAATTCAAAAAGTGGACCCAAATTTGGATAGAACACAAGGGAATTTCGCCACGTATCCGAATGACGACATCAGTAATTATACGGCATTTTATACAGAAGTCTTGGCGACAGGGATGCTGCTGTTGTGTATTTATGCAATCACAGATCAGCATAATCGTTCTCCCGGTACAGTGGGTACGCCGTTCGCATTTGCTCTTATGATCATGGCTCTTGGAATGAGTTTTGGTATGAATACGGGTTACGCAATGAATCCTGCTCGAGACGTTGGACCTCGTTTTTTTACGTACTTGGTTGGATACGGCTCAAAAGTATGGACGGCTAGAAACTACTACTTTTGGATTCCTATTGTTGGTCCTCTCGTTGGTGGAGTAATTGGAGCAGGAATGTATACTCTTTTAGTACAGGTTCAGCACCCACATGAGCATGAGATGTAAGAACAATATTTCTTTAAAAAACATCTCTCTTTCTTGCTTGTCGCGGCACCTTAAAAATTCTATAGACTAACAGGATGTGACTAGAGGAATCAGAGTGATACAGATCGCTGTTTTTGAATAGTAGCGTTGATGATAGAAACATGAGGCTTCGATTGCTCCGAATGTAATCCTTTGCATAAATAAGTCGTAAGCATTGCGAGTGCATCTTTATAAATTGTATTATATTAAATGGAAATATAAAAATCTACCAGATAAACAGAAAAGTACGAACAGTATCCTAGATATTTGAAAAATAAAAAAATACCATGTGTATCACTGTTCTATATATACGTATGTATACATATTTGTGATATCAACAACCGTGTAAGAATGGGCAAGATATAACGATCTTGTGGAAGTGGCCCATGCAATGATTATCTTCATTTTTCTGTTTATCTGGTAGATTATTTTATTTTCCCTACATTAAATCATCTAATCACACCATATTCTGCACTTCGCAATTGTGTCGTATAAAATATTGTTTCAGTTCAAGCATGCAAAGCCTTGGCTGTCTCTATTTGGTGGCGGTAATATTACGCGAAACCTACATGTGAAGAGCAGATAAACATTTAAACCAGCTGAGCGTAATTACTACGGGGACTCTGTAGGAATACTGGCGTCTGAGAGCCGGCGCTTCATAATGCCACGCCAGCCGCGACGTCGGCGTTGAGTCTCTTGAAACGCAATGTATCGCTCGACGAGATATGCTTGGCCAGCCTTGACCCCCATGCCAATTACTGGTAGCAAAGGGAGAGGACCAGCAAACCATGGAGCCACAAGTCGACTTGACTGCGTAATGCATGCTAGAATAGCAATTCCTACACTAATCATAGAAAGCGCATTCCACACCGAAAATCGACGTGTGAATGTTGACGAGAACAGAGCCAGTGAAATGATGCCCACAATGGGAGACAGGACGAGCGCAAGTGGTGGCACAAGCAGCACCGGCACCATGATCGAAGCACTGCAGTCATGATCGACTTCACCTTCAGTGACGCACTTAAGATTTACCAAGATGGCAAATGTAATAGCCAAATCAACCATCAATAATGTCAAAAGCGAAATGCTGAGCATCCACGACAGATTGAGTGAACTGCTGCGTGGCACATTGCGAGGTAACAGATGCATGCGAAGAAATGAAATGAAGATCTGACGAGGAGTCCGATCTGCAAGGCGCTCTTGTAGCTCGTCGGCGCAAATCAGCACTCCAGGTATAGGAAGTGATGCATCTACAGGGCCAAGCCATCCTTCATAAAACGTACGGTGGACTGCTTTACTTGGTTGTTTACCCTTCGTCGTTCCAGAACCCGTAAGCATTAGAACATCATCTGAGTTTTCACCGCGCCCAGAGGTACTATTGCCTACTAAAGCATCTCCGTGTGAACTAGAAGATCGAATACGCAGCGCCTCTTCTCGAATACTGCTCACCGGGTTGGGAGAGGCTTCGTTGGCACTTTCATTTGCACTACGACCCTTTCCACGAGAAGACGAACTAGGGTTACTCAGTGCACTTCCCCATCCGCCCATGTCATTGAGCATGGCACCATTTTCAATAGTACCGTCGTCACGGCGGGGACCCGGGTATTCCAGAGAGTCTCCACGTCCATAACCGTAAACGTCATTTACGTTAAAATTATTTAATTCCTTCGAGTGATTGCTGCCATAGCTGTATCGACTTGAGGAAGGCTGGAACTGCGAGTGAGATTGCTGGAAATTATTTTGACTGCTGACGTTGTCAAGTGAGTCGTTGGCCGTAGTTAAAAAAAGACCAAGTTTGAACTCCTCACCCATGTTGAACTCGTCCTGGACATAAAACCGACCCAAATAGATGCGAAGCCCACCAAGTTTGCCCATATTGCTTCCCAAGGACGACCGAACACGCTGCTTCTCAAGATACACGGCTACAGGAGTGAGTGACTGTACAAGGGAGCCTTTTTCTCGTTGCACGACGCGTAATAACTCATTCAGCTCAGCAACGAATTCAATCCACGGTTCATCGATAAATGCTGTCAGCTCGGGGCATTGTGGAATCGAGCGAACAAGCAAATCGTTTGGATCCAAGTAAAACGGCGAGAAATACGTTCCACAACCTGCGAATAATAGTACTAAAGGAAGTGATGGCTTACCAATTTTAGTCGTCGGAACGCAGACAGACTGAGAGCTTTCTTTGTACAACAATTCTAGGTACACCAACGAGTAGTCAGCGCAATACCCAAGCTTGACAGCATTGAGCAAACCACGTGCTCGAGGACCCTTCATGCAGGCATGATTATACCTCGCTACGATTCGCTTGAGCTCGTTAACACGAATATGTCTCCGAAACAACTTTACCTCGGATGCAAAAGGATACAGTAATGCTGCCACTAAAAAGTACACAATCTTTCCCCAGCTAGAGCAAGGACCGCGTTGCCATGCCAATACACGGTTGATACGATCGGCTAAATTTTTAAATTCAACATCGTACAGAACCTTCTTCAAATTCGGCGGAACTGTTGTACGGAGTTTTAGCGGAGAATCTGGGTCATTATATCCCGCTAGATAAAGCCTTGCCATGTGTTCTGGCAAATCCCGCTCCATGAGTTTTGGATAGACGACACGAGGCCAGTAAAAGCAGCGAAAAAGCGATGCAAATAAACTACGCTGAGAATTTGCCACAGCGGAAGAGAGCAAGTGTTGACGCTCACCTTTTGCTCCTCTGCTATTGTACATCCGTGTATATGATGGCTCCTTGCGATTTCGACAGGCGTATCCTATTAAGATAAAGAATGTTACGATGCTCATCAACACAAGAGCAAACCCAAATTCTCCACCGCATGCGTCAAGCAACTGTTGAATAGGCGATACACAATAGTATCCCGAGTAGCCAGGGTCACACGCCCAATCACAGCGCGCACTTGTAGAGCCCTTGCCAACGTAATGCGCGTTAGCTGGTGCGTTTGTACATACAACACATTCCGCGCTATTGCTTTCTGATTTGTATTTGCCCACGGAACACAAGCGGCAAAAGAGACCACCAGATCCTGGAGGGCAAGGGAAGCCAAAGAAAGATCCACTCGCACCAGCAGGAACGATGGATGTGTCAGAATCAGCGGACGCAGGTGTTGGCAAAGGCAACTCGGAAGCATCATCACTGCTTAAGCGGTACGAGGTAGCACCTCCTGCTACAGTATAATTCCCATCAAACTCCCTTGTGCATCGATCAAAAGTGCTTAATTCACACCCTGTGAGCTGTAAGCGTCCACCACCGCCACCCCCGCCGCAAAGCCGAGGAACAGTTTTTAAGCTCGGTAGTTGAGCTTCTGTCTGCTCATCAGCGGCATCATATTGAGCCTCTCCTGAAAGAATTTTTGGTTCTTTCCAAATTGGTTTGCTAAATAAACTTGCTGAACTATCGGTGCATTCAGAACCACCGCCAACAGCGCTAATGTGTCCGTGTCCACGTAAATATTGTGCGACAGATAGCCCCAAAAAACCTCCTGAGCCTCCTCCTGCACCGTTTGCTCCACCATCACCATTACAACGGATTTCACCATTAAGAACAAGGCCTGAGGCACCAAGCATAACAAGACCACCACCATTTCCACCGTCCACACAACCACCACCGGAGCCTAGCATACCTAAACCAGATCGCGTACCATAAGGCAGCCCACCTGAGGCGTAGTTGCCAAAACTTGTAACAACACTTGAATCAGCCCCACGACCACCATATCCAGCACCTCCGCCAATGGAGTTTACGCACATCCCCATGCCAGGGCCTTGATTCGCCAGCTCTCCAGTGCCGTCTGCTGACACAATCGAACCACTTGATATCTCGATAGAGTCAATTGCACACATTAGGACAGCACCGCCACTAACATAACCAAGTGGCGGTAGAGCCATTCCGTCATCTTGCTGCAGCTGATTTCCCAATTGCTGTCGTTTTTCTTCCGCCTCTCCCAAATAAATTGATTTTCGCGCATTGAAAATGATAGTGTAATTACTTTTGCTCGGCAAAGCAGTTGGTATGCTTGGTATCGTTGTTTCGTTCCCAGAGTTACTGCCAGATTTTTCCGCCGCAACATTTGTATAGTACAAATTGAGCTCCTCTTGCTCTTTGCAAGTACGAAAAATTGACTTAATGCTCGGATAATTTATTGCTTCAACATGGCCATTAATTGTAATGGAAAAGTCCGACGAAACTGATAACGCACCAACCGCAATAACACCACCAAGAAAAATGTCGCCGTCACTAAGCAAGACCAGCATTTTAGTGTTAAACAGCTGAGTGATGGTTGCTGAGGTAGGTGCAGCAACAATTGGATCGGAAATACTGGAAATGTTGGCATCAAGGTGAATATTCTGGCTTGTAACAATCTGAGTACTCCATGTAAACTCAAGTGTAGCGGTTGTATCCATTGATACAGTTCGGGCCGAGATTTGCAAGGCGCTAGTCGGCATCATAAGTTTTGCTTCGCTAGATACAATCATGTCTCGCGCACGAATTTGCAGAAGAGGCGGTTTGTCATCGCTATTTATGCTTATTGAATCTGGTAACTGGTGGGGTAAGCCGACAAGTAATGAATCCAATAGAAGAGAACCATTGAGCACCCTCAGGTCTCCTTCTGCTAATTTCAGACATCCCGTTGCGACGACCGCACCGTCTGTAATCGTGACTGCATCAATGTGTTCTGCCTCACTATGTCCAACGTCTAAGCTCGTCACAGCACCACCAACAACCGTATCCATATCCTGTATTTCCAGAGGTCCATCATCGTCCCTGTAAACACGAGTCGGCCACAGCCGCTGCATGTCATTACTAATAAAAAGCTGAGCTTCATGCACACCGTCCGAATGTTGGACTACCTGGTAGTACGTACCCGCTGCACCAGCCAATGCTGACACCTGTACGTGGCGAAAGCGATTCTTGTTTGCCAGCAATTCCTTCACCAAGTTTGTATTTAGCGTGCCTCCAGTCGTATCGACAGCATTTGTATCGAGCTGACTAGACATATATGTGATCTGTACACGCCCGCCGCCACCAGCCGGATAACAATGCGTAATGCCTCGTTCGATAGCTTTGTCGGTGCAAAAAGCGTCACCTCCCTTCGCCTGGACTCTTCCGCTCACAGATAAGGCGTTCGCAAAAATTACTATCGAACCCCCTGAGCCCCCGCTCACTCCGTCGATTGCGGAGGCACCGTTAGCTTGAATCGCAGCGCTTTCCATCACAACGACATCTTTCGATGCTTTAATTTGAATTCGACCACCTCCGTCAACCGTGACATTGTGTATGCTCGAATTATCTCCAGTGATGACAGCACGACTGCCACTCCCAAGTAAGAACGGCGCAATTATTGCACTCATGTCCTCTGACTCTTCCGACGACGACGTCAGCTTTTCTGGATCTGTCATTAAGGCTCTCTCTTTTGCCCATAACTCGGCTAATTGCCACCCGGCACTGCTCTGCTTCAACAGTGCTTCCTTATCTTCAACAAGCTCCACATCCACTGTACGCCCTCGAACATCAAAGAATCCTCGAGTCGTTTGCTCTGTTAGCATCGTATCATTTGCAATTAGTCGCTGACCGCCACCTCCGCCATGACTAGCACCAAAGATGTCCGTCCCAGTAAAGAGTCCCTGGCCATCACGAAATGCACCGCTATAAGATGCTGAGATCTTTGCTTGCACCTCGAGATGCACAAATGACGCCACAATGCTGAGTGACGAAGCCATTAATGTCGCTTGAGTGCCCAACAGGACCATTTGACCTGACCCAATGTGCAGCAAACAATCATCACCTTCTAATGCGACTGTCACACCAGGAGCAAAGTGGAGATCACCCGCCACATCCCAATGGCAGGTAAATCCCGGAACAGCTGGAAGCTTCACGTCTTGTCCATCAGAATCCCCTGGAAATGATGATTTAGACATTACCGCTTCGTTCTCGAGCGAACCTGTGGCGGGCATTGGTACAGGCAGATCCATAGCTTCTCTTGGACCGCAAACGAATGAGACCGACTCTATAAAAGTACAGGAAGATGTGCTCGAGTTCCATGAGCAGTGCTGTCGAAAATCGGCGCAGTGCGGCCTAAGATCGTTCATGGGCATTGCAGTGATAGATTGAACTTTAGGTGCGACAACGAACGCAACAAGAGAGACTATAAAGAGCCGAAGCATTTGAGAGAAGAGCAGTCGTTGTGCGGCAAAGAGTGAGATTATAGCGACAACAGACATACACGAGAGGGCACGTGCGGTGGATCCTTAAGTGAGACCGCACGCCCAAGTGCGGACTTAGAGTGATGGTTCAGCAAGCTTGCCATCACCTCCACATCAAGGTATCGAGTATCACAGATTATTTCCTATACTTATAACTATAATGTTGGAATAAAACGTGATGCCATACGAAGTTATAAGGGTAATTAACGCCAACCTGATTTCTTGTAGTCACAGTAATGCGGTAATTCCTCTTGTAACTGACGGTTTTCAAGCTAAAATGTCGTATTTACTCCCGCATCTTGAAAGTGGCTGGGCCGTCGATCAAGCCATATTAAATGAAGGTGACCGCGTTGTAGTGATTCGCTTTGGACACGATCATGATTCGACGTGTATGCAGATGGATGAAGTGCTCTGTGGTATTGCTGAGGACGTCAAGAACTATGCTGCCATTTACGTTGTTGATATTACCGAAGTGCCGGATTTCAACACGATGTACGAACTTTACGATCCGTGCACTGTGATGTTTTTTTTTCGCAACAAGCACATTATGATTGACTTAGGCACGGGCAACAATAATAAAATAAATTGGGCTTTCAATAACAAAGAGGAAATGATCGACATCATCGAGACTGTCTACCGTGGTGCGCGCAAAGGTCGAGGACTTGTAATCTCACCGAAAGATTATTCTACCAAGTATAGATACTAAAACGACTTCCCTGTGAGCAAAAGAAGAATTTCACCTGGTGATTTCAGTTCTTGAAACATCTTACCCGTTATATGAATCTCCTGATCTTGCAAATGACTCTTAGTTATTACTACGCACTTGGCGCCGTGATAAAATGTCGAAAAAGTATTGACATTCCAAAATGCCATCCTCAGGAAGATCAGTACAGTGTATGGCATTTCGAACACGATCAATGCCAAATTTGGCGCGAATTGTCTGCGGTTTAAGTTCTTTCGCCATCTCGACGTCCCAGGGACCGGCACTGACACGAAATTGCGCTACGACGTCGGAAGTGTGTTGACCCACTAATTCCATAGCTAAGCATGGTCCAGTAGTGTAATGATCAACAGATTCATTGAAGTGCGGTACAACACCTTCGTAGACCTCAAGAAATTCTGCAGCATTGATCCGATCGAGACGAAAAAGCTCCATCGCCGTAATCCGAACGCCGCTATCACGCTGGATCGCAGAGACCACATCACCCACTAATCCTTCTTTTATCACATGTGGAAGTACGACGCAGCATGTACAATTCTCAAATGTCGCAGTAGAAGCATGTAGTGTTTCAAAGTAAAATGTGCGCAGCTGGTTAGCTTCCAGAACGGATGCAGCACACTGCAACTCTCCAGGTTGCGCATCAAAACGCGAACTCAAATTAGTCACAACCTGCTTAAGTACTTCTAGACAATTTTCTTGTACAATCTCCATTGCAACAACGGGAGCACTAGTTAATTGGTCGACTCGGTTTTCAAAGTCGTCAGTGCCGCGGTGCAGCTCGAACAATTTCTCCGCTTGAGATCGATCTACTCGCATCATTTTAATCGCAGAAAACGCAAACTTTTGGTGCGACAAGAATTGTAAAATAGCCCCAATATGATCCACCATGCGCTTTTTGATTACAAGAACGGACTTTTGCTGCTGTCGTCCAAGCTTTTCGGCGGTGAAGGGATCCAGATAGTCTTGTAGCTCGAAATGGCGGCCATAGATAAGAACTTTAGCTCCTAAGAAAAAGTCTTTAGCCGAAAGCGTGGGTGGACATTCGCTCTTTTTGAGAAAGAGGCGACTGGTCTTGGTGTCAAAAATCTCAACGTTATGCGTGTCCACAAAGTACCGCACGTTGTAGTGGCGATTTAGTCTACAGCAACAATTCGACAAGCGTCAGTAACAACTACTTGATACTACAAATGAACCGGATCACACACTGAGCGTGCGTGTCAAACCAACGCGCTTTGAACGAGTAAATCGTCTCACGGATCGCCTGCATGCAGTTCCGATATACAAATAGCTGAACCTCTGCGATTTGGGAGATTTCGAAAAGGTAGTTCAAATATCTAGATAAATCATGACTGTACAAAATGCAAATAGGTAATAATGCCGAATTGACGTCATCCTGACTCATTATTAGCTAATCCAGACATAGGCTGTGAGGACGGAAATTTGCACGCTAACTCATCACGACGATATTACTATACGACTGATACAGATTTGCATATCTTCAAATCTGCTACGCTACTTACGCGTTATATTTTATTCGTTATCAATGATTGATTTCTTTGATCTGCTGTTTGTCATTTGTTGGAGGGAATGATAACCAAGCACCGTATTAGCGCTTTCATATGACGGACTGTCGTACCAGAGACAGATGTTCATGGCAGCGAAAAGATATCGCGGCAACAAACCTGTGTATCGAACGTGACGGATACTGATAGCACTTGTTGGTCTCGATATGACGACCTTTGATTTATGAGCTCAACAAATTGTTGCGTACTTCGATACCAATTTTCTACAGCATTTCACTAAAAAAATGTTCTCCTACACTTAAGAATGTTCGCTAAACCATGTCATCGACTAATTTTTGCAACACTACAATTCGAATCAGGTTGGTCCTTGTTTAACAAAATGAAAATGGCTTCTTCACGTCTTGAGTTTCTTGATTTGTCATTAACTACTGAACATATTGGAACGGGGGTTGTCATGCACTTTGCCCGGGGGAAGCTTCGTCTCGAAGAGCTCGCGTTACCAAATTCACATAGGCTAGGCTCGTACGCTTCGACCACGAGCGAAATCGAAAGCCCTCTACCATGACTGGGTTTCCGGTTGACTTTTAAAGAGTCCGAGGCGTCCGGCAATAAGAAGACACAATCACTAGTTACAAATAGAGTTATCCTGTGCAAAACACTATGCTGAATTATTGTAGTGACCATTCAGTAGACAAGTATGTTTCATTTGATTTCTTGCTCTTACTCTGGTTTTTGCTCTTGTTCTGGTTTAGATTTTGGTGTTTGTTCTTGTTTACGTTTTCGTATGCATATTAATACTTTTATCGAGACGTACCCTTACGGCAAAGTAGCAATACATCTGTTAGATTACTGCCGCGGCTCCCTCACTCTTTAAATAAAAGATCTGCTATATCCCCCCCAAAGAGAAGAGAGGAGAAGAGCGTCGCGAAATCCCGCTGTATTCGCGAGTAAATGCCTGAAGTGGAATACGTGCTTGATATTTCTCTCTGGCTTTCACGTTTATTTGCTTTTGGATAGCCATGCCACTTGACAAGATATTGTCGCTTGCCGTCGAACTGTCTTTGAGATATACAAGTCACCACCAGCGTTGTAGTCACAGCTTTTGGTATTGGACGTGCAGTAGCCTTGGCCCAACCGATCCATATAAAGTACATAAAAATGTCGCCAACATGACAGAATCTACATGATGAAATTCGATCGCTACCTGTCAAAACGTTCTTTTTGGCGGGTCTGACCATTTATAATTGTCAATGGCAAGGTTCAAACTTCTGTCCTTTTCCCGCAAAGTTGGCAGCCAATTCGTCCTTCAGGGACACGTTATCAATTACATGATTTCGCAACGCAGGTGGATCTCAAGATGGGGCAACAGATCGACAAAATCGAGCGCTGAAGACTCTTGACGATACCGAGTTTTGTACATTGGTGAAGATTAGGCTGATCATTTTGCAGCTATCGAGTATGTGCATAAAGAACCTGTTTAAGCATCAACTGGAGTTGCACCGCTTGTAATCAATACAAGACTCAAGGTAATCATAGATTGCTTTCTTCCCATGCTGGTTATCAATGACTTTCAGAAACTTTTAGTAAACGCGGAGCTTTGATCGCTATCGATTACAGCAGGAAGACCTTGATGGCGGATGTCTTCGTGAAAAACAACCTTACAGTGTCTAGAATAACGGCGGTAGAATGAGTCGTAATGTACTTGTTGCATTTGAACAATTGTCACGTCTGTTTAGATTGCATCGAATCCACGAGATACCGGAAGACCTCTGTCCCAATCTATGAGAGTTGCATGCCAGCATTCATTGGTGCTAGGTCGCAACCAATTTTAATGCGCTTTCAAATTACTTGTCCTACAGTAGATCACGTCTCGCACGTCAAAACGTACAACTTGACATCTTCATTGTGAAAGTATGAACATTAAAAAGCACTCGATTAAGCTCCACGGATACTTGGACGAGCAGCAATGTGGGGGTGGTGCGGTATCGAAATGAAGCAAAGTTTATCTTTAATTGGTACGAAAAGTCACCGAAGCTGATCTTCGAGAGGGGTTTAGATAGACGTCTGCATAAACTACTTGCAAGTAGAGTTGTGGCTGGTTGCAACAATCATAACGTGATATGTGTGGAAAATGACGCCAGTTTGAAAACGCCGACTTGATCGCGAATAATGTTTTATTCATGCGCTGGCCAATTAAGTTCATAAGGCACAATCTTGTTTGATAACGATGCAATTGGCTTGTCTTCATTCCTGTAGTTCAACTGCGAAGTCAAAACTCTACGGACTCGACCAGACATTTCGCAAAACGAGGCGCAGGCGCTTGTTGTAGTGTGGATTTGATTGATAGAAAGGCCCTGCGTCATTTAGCACTCCAATTACACGGGGATGATGCTTTCACTTTGTGGTATTACAATGTTTGCACAACTGGCAATATAGTTGCGATAATATTCAAGCATTCAAGAGGGCTGAGCAAATATCTGCGAACGATTGGCTCTGGCCACTTCTTGATTGCTGTTACTTTCGTATTGTCAACTTGAAGATCAAAATGCAGGAGCTGTATGGCCAAGTGGATCCTACTTGAACGGGCGAGCGTACACCTGCTCGCTGCCTAAAGTGTCCACAAACTTCGGCCATATGTCTTGAATGGCCTCCTTCATTGACGGAAGGATGCAAATATCATTTATATGCATGACAACAAGGTGTAATTTTGTCAAATACACATCGCAAATGTCCTGACAAAATCCAGCTGTTCCTTGGCGCTACAACTTTCGTAGACTTCGCGATGAGTTCGAGAAGCAATGTACATTTGCACTTAAAACAACGAGCAATTGATAATATTGAGACGCTAAGACAGAAAAGATCATTTGTCCTAATTTCGATGGAAGAAGTCATCAATGAGTCTTAGGCTTTTTAGTCTGGGAATTTACATGGCAGTAATTCATAACCCATCGAGTCGGCGTGTGTGCGGTTGCAGTGCAGAGTCATTCATGTCTTGATGGCAATTTTCGACCAGAGTCTTTCTATCGGTGGAACGCCAGATACAAATCTCATGTCGACAACTGAATCCAGCCTTTTGTTTCGGAATTTGTAAAGCAATTCTTCTCAAACTTATAAAACCTGCATAGCGGTCGGTGTTGAGGTTTTGCGTCAGACTTCATGTTGAGATCGAAAAAATACCGCGATGTTCAAGCGTTTAAAAATTATTCAGGAAAATTTGAAACAACTATGGGTGCGTTAGTGTGATATCCAGACACAGTCTGATCTCTCATGATCATCTTCCTTCAATATCATGTCGTATGTACACAACGCTTTGGTGACGCACCAACCAAGTCATACAGCTCCTGCGTTTCGGTGATTGGCGATTTTTGCTGCTTGCTTTAACGCAAAAAGATGATCTCTCAAGCGTTCTTGATAACCTACAGGCTCAAAATTGTGTCGTAGAGCTTCTTTAAACTCTATTAACGAGTGTCTATCTCGGCTGGACTTCGCGCGGTCTTGACACCATGCGGCGTGGAGTCCTCTCAAACTGGCGGTAATCATTGCAGCACAGCAACTTTCTGTTATTTTATCATCCAGCGGATCGAAGGGACTAGTACAGGGAAATGCTATCATCGAGTCACCCTGAGGAGTTAGTCATTGAAAGCTTTTCTACTCTTAGACAGCTTGGCAAATCTTACACTTTTTCATGCAATAGACTATAACGAAAGCTTACACTGGTTTGATGTTCTTAACTTTGCACCGAGGAGCTTTTCGTCCTCTTACAAATACAATGTATATGCCTCACAAGCACGTATTCTGAACATATCTATGTTATTTGACGAACAGAGAGCGGTCCATGTGTACCACAAATCTCTCTAGCAATCACTGCCCTTGAAGGCTTGCTCCACTCTCTTCACTTTACCGTACCTGCTCTTTAGCCAGGATCCACCTCTCGAACAGCGAGCGGCCCACGTGTGCCACAATTCTCTCGAGCAATCACTGCCTCTGAAGGCTTGCTCCACTCTCTGTACTTTACCATACCTGCTCAAGCCAGGATCCACCTCCCGTCAACTTAAACAAAAAGTTTGACCCGCCCGCAGGAAAGGCACTGTCTTCTCAACCGACTCTATAGAAGCCCGTCCCGGTGAGGATGGCGATGATTCCGACGAAAGCGGTCGTTGCAGCTCTCCAAATCCAGATTAGACATCTCTCCTTCGACCGGGCGAAAAACGGTCTAGCCCCTTACCGAGAAAATGGCAATCACTCTGCTTAGCCCTCCCCCGCATGCGTTATGTCTCCCGTATCTTTTATCACTTCCGGCGGAGCTCACGACAATGATCAGCTCGTTGGCGATGAGCTAGATATGCCATAAGGAGCTTAAGTTACTCAACTTTAAGCGCAAGAGTCATGCCGATTCGTGTTCCTATCGTTCAGACGTGATCAAACCGTCTGACAAGGTCGAATCGTTTAGAATGGACGCTCGTACCACGTAATTGAGGTTGCGATAACAGGAGGTGTATTTCTAGTCAAGAAGTATCAAGATGGCAAAATTAGCGATAGAAGGCGCGTCTTGTGATCAAGCGGTTCTCATAAACTTATGGAGACGTTTGCGTTTGTAACTTTACGTCAAATAGAATTCTGCTAATTTCGGCGGCCAAGTACCAGCTTATCGCTTACCAGATGGATGTAGAAACAGCCTCATTAATTGACAAGTTGAAGAAAACATAACATGACAGTCAGAAGGATTTGGAGATAAGGATAACCAAAATTCTGTATGCAAGTTCGAAAATATGCTATACGGGCTGAAACAATCGCCTCGTATGTGAAACAAGACAGTCGATGGATTCAAGATCGGAGTGGACTTCAAGAAGCGCGAGTCAGATCACTGCGTCTAGATCGAACGTAAGAGTCAAGACATAATTTTGTCCCTTTTTACTTCGATGATTTGATTTTTGTCCACAGTTGCGCCATATTACTCCATGAGGCTAAACAAGCGCTCAGTAGCCGATTTGAGATGCCAAAAATGGACAAATCGGGCCAAATGCAACAAGTGGGACAGTGAAGATGCGTCACACCAAGTTCCCGTGCGACATTCTAGACATGATGAGAGACAGCGATTGGACCCGTAAGATCCCGATCTGAAGCTGACCAAGGCCATGTGCAATGGATGCTGCGACTGGTTAGCGTGCAAAATGTTTGCTCGACCAAAATGCTTTCGGTTGCAGTTCCTATGATTTCAGTATCTGTATAAAATCCATTCATTTTCTGCCCATTTTTTGAACATGCAATTTTGCCCGAGAGACACAGGTGAAGTAAGTAACAGATTGCCTACCGAGGTCCCGAATGTGAAAAGGACCCTCAATTTAAGTCACGGTCAACTTCTTGCTCGCACTTTTTGCTTCTGATTCAAAGCAATCTTTATCAGAAGTAAGCTTGCTGCATCAAGAAATGTGATTAAAGCGCCCAGGAGTTTACACTACTTAAAATTTGACGAATTCTATTGCGATGAAGTACTGATCGAGTCGATTATCTATTATTACAGCTTTGATAATGCACTGGCTACATTTTCGTATGAAAGATGGAGTTTCTTCACCTGATCCCCGGACTCTTTGAAAAGCATAATCGGGTACGTATTCTAGCACGCACGAGACTGTTTTATCTTAGGGTTGTCCGCTGTCTCATGTAACTCATGTTATGCACAAGTCCGGACCTCGCAGCAGCAGGGAGTATCAAGTCAGTTTGCGGCAAACTCGTGTCCGACGCACTGACAAGAGCTTAATCGAGTCTTCAGATGCTTGCAAGGCACAATAACTCACGGCATTTGAGTTTAAGTAGCAGACTTTAAGGCTACTCATTTGCCAATTGGGTAGCATTACATCAAGAAGACGCATAAGCGGCTCGCCTTTGCGATGAACGGTGGACGGGTAGACCAGTTCAAGCAGATAGCCGTAGCCCCGCCATCTACAAAAGCTGAATATTTGGTGCGATCAGAAGCTACGCAAGAGGCTGAATGGCTTAACGCGTTTATATGCAAGCTAGAAGAGCTAATGAAGATGAAGCTGACAAGACTTTTGAAGATGATCAAAGTGCTATCGTGCTGACCAAGAATCCCGAGTCTCACAAGTGCACCAAACATAACGATATTCACCACCAGTTTGCTCACGAGAAAGCGTAAAATCGTGCTTGATATGTCTTATCTATAAACATGCTCGCAGACAACTTGACACAGTCTGTACGAGCACAATCAGTAGAAAGCTTTGAAGCTATGCACAAGTAACGATCAAGTCAAGTGGCTGTGTATCAAGGGAGCGTCTCGACTAGCAGTCGCTAATCGGTAGATAACTTTTTGGTATCGATACGCTCGTGCGCGCTGCTTTCATATGTTGTTCTATCTCAGAAGTAACGCAGGAAAAATTACAACGATCAAGAATGGGCGGCAATGTGGCATTCACTGATCGGAAAGCAAATCAGGAATCCAGCGTAGTGGATTGTCAAAATTCACTAAGAACAATCTGGAAGGTTTAGCAGGCTTAGAGGTAACAAACAGTTTTGCGAACTTAGGGCCTGGAACTATTTGCATTTTACCACACAGTGCTCAGGTACCTTTTCCTAAGCTCTCACTCTCGGATTTCATTGGTTTTATGAGCGTCTTTCAGGAATAAATTGTCACTGTTAGTTTGTTCTGTTATTTCAAGAGTACCAATTCTCAGAGTTAATTCAAATAATTGAATAGTGTTTTCCTGGTCAGCACAGGCTTACATGATCAATTTTATGCGAATACTTCTGTACAATATAATATTCAATATTCACAATAACGCAAAGTGTAGATGTGAATCGGACAATCGTACCGCATTCTAATCAATACGATGGTCATAAATTTGTTAAGGCTCGGGACGCACGATCACAATTCTTGCGACTCTATTTTTGACTTGATGCCTTTAAGCTCTTCGGGCCAATTGCCCAGATTTCCACCTTGACTGACCATTCTATTTTAGTCTTGAATATCGTATATTAGGGTGACGATGATATACCCTTACCAAGGCAAATTTTGTCAGACTGGGGTAATAGCAAATGCGACGTTATTCAATTGCCTACCGCCGAGCTAGCCATTCCCGTTTGAATCTTGCGCGACTGCTGAGTGAAATGTTTCGATATGAAGTTGTCATGGGAATTTATTGTTTTATCTGTATATATATGTATGACCTATACAACGAGTTTGGCCGGCATAAGCGCTATGTAAGGCTAGAATGTTCTATCTTGTTTGCAAGAAACAGTTTCGAGACCGTTCTAAGGTAATTTTGTATCTGCGCTATGACCGCCATGTTCCTGACAGGTTCTTAAGAGATAGAACTATACCATTTCATAGCTAATTAAACTATTTAAAATTGAACTTATCACTTGCGTCTGACAAACATGTTCAGACTGCATAACCAGTCTTTTAAAATGTGTTGGTAGGAATACAAGATTGATACCCATTACCCAGAATTAAAAAAAAACGAGAGAACTAATAGGTTACCTTAAGAATATGACCACAAATCGATCACGTAATTACTGCTATGACAGCCAGGGAGTTTTGTTGGACCAGAACGATCGTCACTCGGTCATTTGCGTTTACTCATACGTTGTTGGCGTTCGAGAGCAGCAATAACGAGTTGCTCGAATTCGCTTTTTAAAACGTTTGGTGTATCAAATGTCGTTGCAACCACCCGCAAGTGGCTTGGAAGACGCGATTTAGCTGATAAAGGGATCGCACTAGTATTGCTACCTGTAGAATGCTCAAGAACAAGGCATTGAGAGCTGTCCAGACCAGCATTCTGCATAAACCACTCATACCTATTAATGTTGTCAGCTAAAAGCTACTCCAGGTATAATGATAAAGCCAAACATACCACAGCATGGCCTCACTTTCATGAACATGCGATTCCGGATCGTAAACGAGAATAACGCCGTCCGTTTCTTTGATCACTGCTGGCCAACCCGCTTCATAACTACAAGAAGATCAGTAAAGAAGCTAGATGGAAATCTATTATGTACTTGCAATTTAACCTTTGATCTCCTGATACGTCCCAAAGCTCCACATTTGCTCTGCCCTTTTCAAGCTCAAGGATTCGAACGCCAATTGTTGGTCGGTAACGTTCCTGTCCTCCAAGCCGATCAGATTGTTCCGCAAGAAAGTTGGCAATCTGATCATGAATAAAGTGAATGTTGTGTCAACTCGATTAAATTACATACGTACTGTAGACTTGCCAGCTTTAGTAGGCCCAACAATGAGGATCTTGAGTGGTGCCATGACAATAACACACCGCGACGGTTAGCAAGTTATCTGGTTTAGTTACGCTGTACATAAACCAATCTGCATAAACACATAATCCATAGTACTATTTTATGCAAAATAACAGCATTACGTCAGACACGAGGCATAAAAGCTAAATATTCAAAGCAAATAGTAGTCTAAACGGCTATATTACTATCGATAAGCATGCTTTACCCATTTTTTGTATCATTTCAGTATGAGAAACCAAAATATTTATATATTAGGTGTAATATGACAGCACGATGAAGAAACGATGTGTTTACGAGTCACAAGCTCACTACAACGCTAAAGGAACCGCAATTTCGAGTATTGAAAGATGAAAGGTATCAGATGCAACACTGATTTCTGACATTGCAAACGCTAAGATGAAAGCTGATGCGAAGCAGAGAAAAGTTACCGTCATATTCTGTGACTTGCAGCCGTGATAATCGAATTTGAAGTGACTGCAAGCAGGCTTATACTGAAGCTACTATATTACATTTGAATTACTTGAGCTCGTTCAATCCGCTCTGCAATGCACCTTTTAACAGCTCAAATGTCTCAACTCGACCCGCTGCTTGAGTGCTCTCTTCTTGGCATTTATCCAATTGAGATTTTGTAAAAAGCTCGGGATTCATTCCTTTTTCAATCATTTTCAGCACTTCCAATGGAATATCAGCGCTATAATCGACCGCCGCTTTGTCCGCTTGTTGTAAAAGCTCCACGTAACGTTGAGCCTTATCACTTAGAAATCCTAATTGCTCTGGACGAAAATCTGCAACGCCATCCGCTAATTGATCTAACGTTCTGATGATGTCCGCCAGCGTCTCCACTAATTTAGGTGGCAAATGCTTTACGACATCGTCTTTTGGTAGTAACGAGCTTGCTCCGAAGGCTCCAGCTCCGACACTTCGACTTACTGGGACGATCTGTGGCTTTGCAGCACGACTACTGCTGTTTACTGAGCGTCCGCTAGCGGTAGAAGGAGTTTTAGGTCGAGGCGGTGATCCACTGGGCGTGAATGGAGCCAAGTACGGACTGGCTCCCACTTGCGCTCGTCGTTCCTGTGGCTCTCCGGCGGACGATATGGATGGAGTAGGCTGCAAAATGGATGAAGGAATGGCGGTAGATGCTTCCTCAACGCGGCCTGTATCGGGTAAGTCCGCTAAGAATTGATCCGGCTCGATATCCAGGTCGTCTTCGTCGAGGGTCTTGATCGCATCCATGCTACGTGATGTTCTAATTGCTATTTCATGGTTAGCTTAGCGCAAAAATTAAGCTTTAATCAGCATCATATTTCAGTAATTTCTTATTAATTTCAGTCCTAACATCAGATGCAAAATAAATTATATCGTATTTTATATCAGTTATTTCTGGTTAAAAATATCTCATTCTAATCGAAAGTTTAATATATGAAACTTATGTACAACCACACTCAACAAGGACATGATGCAATCGAGAGAGGACATCATGAGAGCTGTCGCCGCGAACGATTACAACCATGAACATGCATTTACTGACAAGTCGAGTGATATCTGTATAAGCAAAGTCATTTGTTCTGACCTAAAGTGCGATTGACGTTTACTTGCTATTGATTTGGTAGCTTTTATATTTCCATATGTGCGACCCAGCGGGTGTCAAATTCGATGATACCCTTGAAGTAACGGGCCTCGTACAGCTACCACAAGTGCGCCACTTCGTCATCATCAAGGACAGACATTATAGCCCAACTGATCTCCACACGAGTCTGTTAACAGAAGCTGGTCAGTCTTTAAGCATCTCTAAGATCATGTTCCTTGTAAAACACAACTGAAGCAGTATCAGTCACACATTCCATATATCCATAAATAAATAAACAATCGAATATAGTTGATGTCTAACCGGACGGCGACATGATCACAAGTTTGGGTATCCACGAATACCCTTGCGCAGACAAAAGAAAGTGAATTTCATTTCACGGCCGCCCGTTGTTCGGCGGATAGGGCGGTACAAAGCCGCAATCACTAGGGCAACCTCTATAAATTGCGGTTGTGAGTAGTGAGTACCCTGATTGTAACGGGGTTACAGGTACCCTTGTATGAAAGGGCGGGATACACCAGATGGTGTGACCGTACATAGGTGTGAATTACACAATTTGGTGTAATCACACAATGGTGTGGCTACACCATAACAAGAAGCCACT